AGGAATTAAGGTGAAGGAACTAAAGCAGTATCTTATTGTCTAAACCAGCTCAAAACAGGTTGCAACGCATGATAGTGGCATACATTTTGTTTTCTGTGTGTGTGTTGTTTTGATAGCCGGGACATCGAGGAGGCGATAAGGTACAACAGGGAATTCCACAGAAGGTGTATCATGGCGTCTATTGTAGTTGGGGTCGGCCTTGGAGGTCTCTCTTGTGTCTGGTATGCTCGTAGCTACAGGAAGGCCCTCATGGAGCATGTTACCGGCTTCGAGGTCATCAGCCCATATGCACCAAGTACGCCTGAGTAGGCTGGGGTGGTGTCCGCTTCAGTTCCCCTTTTGTTTGTGAATTGTGATGTGGTATTGATTTATAGGTAACGATAACATTGCAAATATATTTCAAAACGCAGCAAATAATCTTAACAAGTGATATTTCAAAACGCAGCAAAACCAGTATGTTAATTAATTAATTTGACAGGAACGGCATATTTGCTTACACGAGTATATAGGGCATGGAAATTTTCCTCGTTGTATTGTACTACCTCCGTTTTTTAATAGATGACGTCGTTGACTTTTTCACACATGTTTGACCATTCGTCTTTTTCAAAAATTTTATGCAAATAATCTTAACAAGTGAGTATTTCAAAACGCAGCAAAAACAGTATCACTACTACAATCACGATTTTCGCGTGCGGTGGAAACTCATTTTCGCGTGTGGTGGTTTCGACCGTCTGGAACCCCGCGTCTGTGAAAATAGCTCGCATGCGGGCGCCCGCACAGGAAAATAAAAAATTGAAAAAAAAAGAAAAAAACCAAAACCCTAACTGTCGCCGTCGCCCGCTTCCCACACCGGATCCGCCGCCCGCTCCCGTCGCCGGCCGAAGACACCCCTCCCCTCCGCCGGATCTGCAAGGGGAGGGGAGGGAGTGGCCGCGCGCCACCGTCGTCAACCGTCGCCGCCACTGTTGCCTCCGCCTGCGCCCGCCGCCCCCATATATCCCTCCCCTCTGACGGATCTGCAAGGGGAGGGAGGGGCCGCTCGCTACCGTCGTCGCCTGCCGCCGGATCCGCCGCCCCCTTCCCTCCCCTCCGCCGGATCTGCAAGGGGAGGGAGGGGCCGCTCGCCACCGTCGTCGCCCGCCGCCGGATCCGCCGCCCCCATCCCTCCCCTCTGCCGGATCTGCAAGGATAGGGAGGGGAGGGGAGGGGAGCCGAAGGGAGAGAGAGGGAGGCGCCGCTCACCACCATCATCGACCGCCGCCCCCATGCCTCCCTTCCGCCTGCGAGGGGAGGAAGGGGAGGGGAGGGAGGGGCCGTGCCGTCGCCGCTGTCGCCTCCGCCTACGCCCGCCGCCGCAGCTGTCGCCTTCGCCTGCGCCCGCCGCCGGATCCGCCGCCCCCATGCCTCCCCTCTGCCGGATCTGCAAGGGAAGGGAGGGGAGGGGAGGGGAGGGGAGCCGAAGGTAGAGGGAGGGAGGGGCCGCCGCGCGCGCGCTGTCTCCCGGCGCCACCGTTGTCGCTGCTGTGAGGAGAGGAGAGGCCGGGAGGAGAGAAGGAGTGGAGTACTGGAGTGGGAGGAGAGGAGTGGGAGAGTTAAGGAGTGGGATTGTGGATTTCGCGTGCGCGAGTAAGGAGGCCCGCACGGCATTTTCGCGTGCGGTTGAGTAAATTGCCCCGCACGGGATAATGTGTTTTCCCGTGCGGGCCACAGCCTGGTACCGATCCCCTCATTATTCCATGCGGTGTCAATTATGGCCCGCCTGGAAACAAACAGATTTAGTGTCCAGGAAAATATTTGGTGTAGTAGTGTATGTTAGCAAATTTGACAGGAACGGTGCCATATATATTTGCTTACATGAGTATATATAGGGCATGGAAATATTCCTCGTTGTATTGTATAATTTTATCCAAATGTTTACGTTAGCAAAAGTAGCTAGCATATATAGGAACTATAGAGATACAGTACATCATTAAGTCGGTCTTTACGTCATAACAAAGGCATACAGAGCCATAGGACAGGTTGAGCACCATTAAGTGTTCGGAGTAATTTTCTCAAAAAAAAAAGTGTTCGGAGTAATTAGCATCGTTACAAAAGGCATGCACAACCATAGAACAGATCGAGTTGCTAAGGGTTCGGATTAATTAACATCGATCATTACAAAAAGTCATGCACAACCATAGAACAGATCGAGTTGCAGTTCGTGGTATAGCGGCCACACTGACAGATCGAGTCTAGCTGCTCTTCTGCAGATTCAAATTATAATTGAAGCTAAGAAACATCACCAAAGTTCAACTGGTACACGTCAAAAAGCTAGCTAGTAGCATCACCAGATCAAAATGTTTAGACAGTAGACAGGTTACGCCGCAGTGGAAGGCTTCATGGCGAATTCCTGAAACAACAATTCAATTTTATGTTCTCCTGGATACACATATCATTGTAAGCTAACTTAGAGCAAAAATTACAAAGAAAACATACCTTTCTTAGGATTGGCCAAATTTTATTTTCAATTTATTATGTAGTCTTGCTAATTGGACGAACACATGGCCAAAATGAGTTCCATGCGTGTGCCACATATGATAAAAAAACCACATGAATTCGACCTAAGAGCAATTCACCTAATTTTATAAATTGAGGGGTATAAAATATATGTTATTAGAGATAAATTGAATTGAACTTTTTTTTTCTTTAGGATAGAGTACTATTCTAACCCGGAGAACACAAAGCAATTAATAATCATATTTGAAAAAAGGGTTAAACTAGACCGGATGTCGAACCGGGCGAACTCCTAGTTCATAGGTCTAGTGGTCCATTCGTCGGGTCGCCCCGGTTCAAATGCACAGCAGGAAACCTATAATTCAATATGTTTATATGGCATATCAGTGTCAAACAACTAGTCTAAATGTGTAGGCAGCGAACTCTTGCCCAAGCAACTTGAGTTTGAACACCACCATCCCTCCCCCCTCACCCCCCCCTTCACCTTTTTTTTTTACGAATAATCGCAATATCATGTAACTTGGGTAGTTAGGCCTTAGAGAGGCCCATTTCTGATGCATAAAAACTACTCTATAGGATCTCATGGAGACGGGATATGTGGATAACCATCCAGTCTTATCCCTTCCCCTCCTATCTCTTTCTCTCCTTGAGCCTTCGCCATTCTCCTTCTCCGCCTCTCCTCCTTCGCCCCTCTTTTTTCCTCTCCCCCCTCCTCTCATCCTTTCCACAGAGAGCTTCTCTGTGCAGGCATGGTGGTGGTGTAGTACGTCCCCAAAAAAGGGATCTAGAGGCTTAGGCCCTCCTCACTGCTAGATCTAGCCTGAGTGCACATCGGCAACAAGGGCGGTGGGAGGCATCGATCTCGTGGCCCTCCTCCTTCTCATGCTTTTGAGGCATATCAACACCCACTAGATCTAGCTCCCATGGTAAAGGGCGCAATCAGGAAGAATGGAGGCCATTTGGAAGGACACTGACCAGCTTGGGCTCCTCGGCCTCCTCCTTCTAGGCGCATTGTCGCTTGTGGGACCCACATGTCAGTGACAAGGATAAAAATAAAAATGGTGTGGCCCACCGCCGTCGCACGCGTTCCCCACGCATCGCCTTCGCTTCCTCTATCGCATTGCCTTAGCCGCATTTCCCATTCCAATCCACCACCGCTGTCGCCGGCCGCTGTCCCTCCTCCCCCACCGCCACCGCTCATGGGAGGGGAGTCGTCGGCTGGCCGCACACTAGTGAGGGAACTTGTTGGCTGGCCGCACACCAGGGAGAATATTGCTGGGAGACTGTGCACGGGGAGAGGAGCTCACGGGCCTGCCACACACGGGGGAAGGAGTTCGCCGGGAAGCCACGCCCCAGGAGGAGGAGTCGGCCGGCCGCACATGGTGAAGGAGCTTGCCGTCCGGGCGCGTGCTGGGGAGGGAGCTCGCCGGCCAACAGCACACAGGGGAGGAGCTCTTGGTGGGCCACGTGTGGGGGAGGGAGCTCGCCGGTCGGCCACACATGAGTAGAGGAGCTCGCCGGTCAGCCGCACGTAGGAATGAGCTCCTAGAGGGTTACACACGGGGAGGGAGCTCACCAGCTGGCTGCGCGCTGGGGAGGGAGCTTGCCAGTTGGCCTGCTGCTATTGCTACTTCTGTTGCCTCCTCTTCCTTATCGCCGCAGGCGCCGCCTGCTGCTTCGACCGCCACTACCTCAACCTGCAATCCCACTGCAACATCTACCTGCTATTTCCGCTTCGACGCCATTGTTGCAACCTCTCTTGCCGCCGGAGTTGCCACCTGCTGCTGCCATGATGCCTCTGTCGCCGTCTCCGGAGCCTACTCTCCCTTCCTCCTCGCTGTCGCCACCACCCACGGAGCCAGCTCACTACCACCGTTTGTCGCCTCTGTTGTTGCCGGAATGTGTGTGTGTGCGTGTGTGTGTGTGAGGGAGAGAGAGAGGAGGATGAAAATTAAATAAACGAAAGATAGATAGGAGGTAAAAAAAAATGGATGCTATGAGGTGGAAGTCGCTGATATGTGGATCCCACCTGCTAACTCAGCGAGTCAACCGTGGTCCAGCAGCTACATCAGCAAGTCTGCGCGATAAGCAACGACGGCGATGACCTCGACGTGCACTCCTCATGCAGCCAGCCGCCCGCACTGTGCTGCTGCTGCGGGTACGCCGTCTTGGCATGGAGAAGATGAGGGAAAGAGAAAAGAGACAGAAAGTATAGGATATGGCCACTAACATGTGTGCCCTATAAGTTTTTTTATTTTTTCCTTGCTGACTAGGATGCCACGTCAGCGAAACCAGCTATCCATACTGCTAGGGGACCTAATTTAATCCAAGTTAGGGGGTCAAGATTTCCGGTATTGCGGTTTAGGGGCACTTACGTAAAGATGAGGGATAAAATGTCGACTTATTCCGAGTTTTGGAGCTGTTGGATCCATTCCGACGACTGGCCCAGCCCAGCCCAGCCCATCCCACAGTTGTCTTCCTTCCTGTATAATAAAAAGAGATCGAGAAGTGAAACCTCTCGAGAAGCATCGTCGCCTCGCCTCGTCCCCAATTGAGCAAACCCTAGCCGCCGCCGCCGATCAATCTCCTAGCTGCTGCCTACTATGGCGATGCGCTACCTCGCCGGTAAGCTGCGGGCCCCCGCCCCCGCCGCCGCCGCTCTCCGTCGCCCTCGATCCCTCTCCGCCAACGCCTCCCAGGTCGGTTCGCCCCTCGACTCGTCGCAAATTGTTCGTGTTGATCGTTGAATGTTATGCATCTCCATGCAATTGAGCTGCTAGTATGCATCGCTCGCTAGGTCGATTCGTGTCCAGATCTGTTCTGTGTTCATGCCCACCTTTCGTTTCCTTGGGGAAAAAACCACCAAACTTTGAGCTTGCGCGCGTTTCAAATTTAGCTCCCGGTATGTGGCATACTTTAGTTATTGGCTTCTCTTGATGTGTCCTGGGGTAGTTAAGGTGGAGGTAGAAGTTGGTCATTAGTTTTTTTCTTTTCCTCATCCACCACTTTTGAGACTTACTGTCAATTTTCTTAAAAGATGTTAGTTTAGATTGGGTGGTTCAAAATCTCATATCTTTATTTGTCTGAAAAGGTACCACTTCCATGATGCTGTACTGTATTTTTAGCGGTCAAATTTGCATTCCTGTTGGTTCTGATGATGACGGGACAAACTTATGATGCCAAGAATCTGTAGCTTTAAGACTTGATCCCCTGTGAAAATTAGGGGTGCAGTCTCTGCTTGCTTATTAGCGTTGTCGACCAAGTATCTTCTATGCAGATGAAAGGATAGTATGTGTATCATGCACAACCATTTCCACTAGGATGCCACACATCTCACCAACAAATCCACACTAGTCATTTACTAAGAAAAAAGAAGTCATTGAACTAGAGCTACTATTTGGTTGCTGAAAACGCAAGATGCTTGTAGGGAGTACCTAGTCCTAAGAGCTTCAGTTAAGAGTGAGCTCACATAGTTGGCACATGAAAATGTGGCGAACTAGATGAATACTTTGAAGCGCGAATCGGTTTGTTTACAAGGGTTAGATGTACCTGTGTCCTGTCTTACTAATACTCTTACTCTGAATAGTTTGTTTGGACCTGGACATTGCCATCTCAGCTTGTTTTCTTTAACTGCTAAATCCAGGGAGGACGCAGCAATGCAACTACAGAGAATGTTGCGAGGAATATGGATGGTGATCTGGGTTGGGTACGGGAAGAAATAGCTAAACTTGAAAAGTTAAGGTGAAGGAACTAACATTATTTATTCTTATATTTATCTAAACCAAACTCAAAAGGTCCCAATGCATGATACTAGTAACTAACATACATTTGTTTTCTCTGCGATAGACTGGAAATCGAGGAGACAACAAGGTACAACAGGCTCCACAAGCGGTGTTTAATTGGGTCTGTGTTTGCTGGGTTCGGCCTTGGAGGTCTCGCTTGTGCCTGGTATACTCGTAGCTACAGGAAGGCCCTCAAGGAGCATTTTGACAACCCGATCGTTTGGATGCCGCCGTATTCAACATCTTCGCCTGAGTAGCCTGGGTTGGGGATCCAGCTCACTTATCCTTTTGTTGCCATGTAATAATGTTTGACTCTGGCGTATGGCATGTGATTTGGGGTAATGCTTGCAAGAGCTAGCTAGCGCACACTCTAGCTTACAGTATGTGCTTGTGCCGTGTTATGTTAGACCAATTAACTCTTATGTAAGACCAAATGAAGTCGTTTTCACAAACAGCTTGTGGCTATGACATATTTATGCTGGGTTAAGTTGCTGCTATTGTATGGGTTAGATGAAAGATACAGTTATGCATGCATGTTCAAGTGGTTGGCTGTAGGTCTCAGGAACACTAGCTGATAAAAGATTAGTACATCTCGGTCCGGTGTATGTTCGTTGATAGCTCATTCCCCTCTCTTGATCATCTTCATTATATATACCAGTGAGCGTGTACGTGCAAGGCACTTCGATATATATAATTGAAGAAAAAAAATATGGTTATTGATGATGCACGTCGATATATACAATTGAAGAAAAAAAATATGGTCATTGATGATGCACATTGAGATACATTAAGGCTGTGTTTAGTTGGATCCAAAGTTTGGATTTTAGTTGAAATTGGAGATGATGTGACTGAAAAGTTGTGTGTGTATGACAGGTTGATGTGATGGAAAAGTACTGAAGTTTGGATTCAAATTTTGGATCTAAACATGTATGACAGGTTGATGTAATGGAAAAGTATTGAAGTTTGGATCCAAACTTTGGATCTAAACACAGCCTAAATATCATCATAAGCACTGATAGAAAAAAATATTGTAAGCATTGCATTGATTCATTACGTGCCAAAGAATATTCTGTCTTTGGAGTATTGATAATTTTGCGGTTTATAATGTCAACCCTAGACAAGACTGCAATAACTCATACGTAAAATCCAAACTTTCAACTTCAAATTAACCATTGAAAGAAAGGAAGCTTTGACCAGCTTCGATGCAATCAAGCACCAAATTTCATAGCTTTCTTGTTCTATTTGATGAACATTGGTACCCCGGGTATAATATGATGTCTATTTCCAAATCATAGATTTAGGCAACATTCAAGATCAAGAGAAGAAACAGACTTGATTAATATGAATACAAGACAAGTTAGTACAAGATTCGTACAAAAAATTATCGAACAATTTCCAGCGGGCTTTTCTTACAGATATTCTGGTGACTGTATTTACAGATCTAATCAAGCTGTTTGGTCCAATCAAAGGGCTCCTAGTCCTTCATGAAATTAGCTACAGCTTGTTTCTGGTTATCCATCAATTCAAGCCTGGAATTTAAGGTTACCACACGAGGCATGGAATTGAGATTCAAGAAATCAATTTGCAACAGAAGAGAAGCGCCTGTTCATACCATTGTTGTAGTGAGGATTGGAAACTGATTATAATTATTCAGCTGACCTCAAATTGCAAAACATAAAATTATTTCAGATTTGCAAGAACTAATCAAAAGCAAAAATGGCCTCAGTTTTTTGAAGAATGTGCATTACTTAACCATCATGTGCTACAGGAGAAATAGTGACAAATAAATAAATTAGGATTAGGATGCAAAACAGATCAGGAATACCAAAGGTAAAAATAGTAGTCAATCTGTTTTTATCAGTAACTATCATCTACAGCAAAAGAATAGGCCAAGAGTGTATCTGCTCTTATGAAAACGCTGTTGTAGGAAGCAAAATCAACATCAGAACTCATCATTGTCAAATTTTCAGGCAAAATAAGCATAATAACAGGCACATGTATCTGTTATTACCAGCCAATGTCAAAAGATACAGGTAAGAGTAGGCCTCAGATTTGCAAAAATGAATGAGTTTGCAACATGGTGTGCATCACTAGTTCAGTACACCATCAGCTGCAGTACAAAAATCCTTCACTAACAACTAACAGAAAAATGGCATATGGCTATGATAGTACTGTTTGAAGCTGTGGAACATAAACCGTACATATAGTCATCCAGTTTGAAAACAAAATCAAAGTGGCCATCTTTCCCAATCTGACAGCTAGAAAAAGAAGAACAAGTGCCGAACAAAAATCTGTTCACATGGATCACAAAGAGCACATATCAGAATTCACAATCCATTCTTACGCATCGCAAATCAGCACTATTATTCATCAGTTGCATCCTTCACAGCAAGAAAAATGACAAGTGCAAATAGCTAGACCAAGTTTATATCTGTCATTACCAGTGGATGAACAAGGGTAAAGCAAGTGCAAAAGGATGAAATTTATCATAAGGTAAAGATCATGCAACAATAATATGGTGTTCACTACCACCCTTAACCATCACATAGCCAAATATACATAATTTGGTGTCCCACTACCGCCTTAACCATCACATAGCCAAATATATCCTACCAAAAGAACATATGGTGTCCACTACCAATTAAGCAGCACTTAGCTTTAGCCTACAAAAAAACAAATGGTGTCCACTACCACCTTAACCATCATTAAATACAAAATATGGTGTCCACTGTCACCTCTCCTTAATGGTTAGCTAAATAGTTAGATGATCTCAGGTTATGCTATTCTAGGAACTTCTTAACCCAATGTGCACGATGAGCCTCATTCTTCTTTTGGTACATCTTAATGGCTGGGCTTAGATTTTGGACCACGTGCAGCAGCTGGCATCACAAACTCCTGCAAAACAGAGATTTCAATTGTATTAGTTCCTTCGCAGCCATAGGAATTGGGAGAACAAAACTTGAACTTAGGGTGTGTTTAGTTCACGTCAAAATTGGAAGTTTGGTTGAAATTGGAACGATGCGACGGAAAAGTTGGAAGTTTGTGTGTGTAGGAAAGTTTTGATGTGATGGAAAAGTTGGAAGTTTGAAAAAAAGTTTGGATCTAAACTCGGCCTTACACTTTTCAGGATAGGCCGAATCCTCTCCTGAATTTTGCCCTTGAAATTGGTTTTGTATTCATTCTCCACCATCTTGTAACTGATGACGCCTTTGTACTCTTGTCTCAAAATGAACCTAGCAAACATATATAAGATAAGATGTTACAAATAAGCAAAACAGCAAAAATAAAAAGAAGCAATATAATATAGTAAGAGTAAATTTCACTTTGGATCATCTTTATTGACCAAAATTTCACATTGGGCTAGGGCTAGGCTCATGTTTTCACTTAACACCACGTATAATTACCGTTGTTTGCACTTTGGACCTGGTTTTATAGTTACCATTACACGAGTTGTTGTCTAGGTGCTTAGCAATTTACAAGAAACAATGATATGGAAATTTTTGCCATGCAAATATGCTTAGCGCAAGAACAACGATTGTAACATGTTATAGGATATCCTATCAGATTAATGGGACTTCATTACTACTACATATGAACATTCACAACCCTCATACTAGAGACAAAATTGGAGAAATATTGAGTTTAAGAACTAATTTTCTAGAAAAGATATTATATGTTTTACAATACCCAACACTGTAGTGTTAGTACAAATTGTTGAATTCTAAGTTTTCTAACACAAAAGAAATGAGATCAGATATACAATTATTATACTATGTGTAATTTGTGAAACCCGGTCCAAAGTGCAAATGATGGTAACAATATATGGTGTTAAGTGAAAATATAAGTCTAACTCTAGTCCAATGTAAAAAGGTTGACCAAAGTGAAATTTACTCTAATAGTAATGAGCACTTACCTCTCTCTCACTAGTACTTTCAGCAATGCCTTGTTCAGTTTAGTTTCCTGCACCCCCACATTGATCAAAAAGCGCCACAAAGCCTCTGAAAAATCAAATAAAATATTAAGCACATAGTATGGTTATTAACACAAGAGCTTTTTATGGACTGGTTAAGACTAATTTTAACTTACTTTCAGATATTTTGCCCCCTTCTGATTTGGCAATGGAGTTGACGGCAAATGCAAGGATAGATGACCAGTCGGTATAATAGTTAAGGACTTCCTCATTGAGCTTCTGATAATGAGCAGGCCTGGGTTGTCCAGACAACCAGTGGACAAATCTTTTGATTGGGTTAATGGACTCCACTGCACTGCCGGCCAAATCATCAACGTAATCGTGCATTTTGACGGAAATGGTAGGATCATCAAGGAAATCGATGATGAAACCCTTGAGAAACCCATTAACATCTACTCGCCCAGTGAAAACCCCAAAAAAGTAGACACCAAAAGAAATAGTGACCACTGAAGCCATGAGAAATAAGGAAGTTGTTGCTAGGCTGCCCTTGCTCCTCTCATTTTTCTCCACCGCTCTATCAGGAGAAAAGAAAAGGGGAGCAAATAAGTATAGATCAGGAGTAAAACATGAGATGAGGAAAAAAAGATGCAAATCTACAAATTTAAATTGTACCAACAAACAACAAACAGCAAACAAATTGAGGAGGAAAAAAAAAGAAGAGAAATTTCAAACTCACATGGTTAGCTTCTCAAGTGTTTGAGCGTATTCTTCGAGGAGGGCCTTGTGCGAGCCGGTGGTCTTGACGAGCATCTCCATGTTGGTGAGGATCCGGGAGAGATCCAAGTCGACGGTTTTGGTCCATCCGAGGAAGCTCCCGCCTCTGGGTGCACCACCATCCCGGCGACCCAGGCTGCCTGATGAGGAGAAGGCCCGTGGCTTGGGCGGCAGCGTCGGGGAGGGGAAGGCCGCCCTCGGGAGCAGGCAGGGGACGCCACCGCCGGCAGCGACGACGGCGTGGCGCGTGGTGGCGGTCGGGGAGGGGAAGGCCGCCCACGGGTGCACGTGGACGCCGCCGCCGCCGCCGCCGTAGCGTGGGCCGGCAGCGATGACGACGGAGGCCGCCCTCCTCCTCCCGGCGAGCACCGTGGAGGCCAGACGAGCTGCTGCCATGGCCAGTGGGCGGCGGCGGCGGCGGCGGCTAGGGTTTTCCCCTTTGCTTTCCCAAAGTGGGAGGAGGGAGATTTTGAGTTTCTGTGAGTGGAGGAGGAGAGTGGGTTGGTAAGCTAAGCGCGGTGATTAGGGTTAGACTCCATGCATGGTAAGCTAGCTTAATTAGCTTAGCTATCCTCTCTCTTCTGTTAGTTACTACTCCACTACCACTACACTTCTACTGGAGTACTATTAATTACTGGAGTAGTATACTCCTAAACAGTTAATGAATGACGTATTTACGACTAGTCGTAACTGCTTTTTTTTTTCTTTCTATTCTCGCTTCGGGAGAGCCAGCCATGGTCTTATTTTATGGGTGTTTGCAAACCTTTCTCGCTTGTGTGCTGCCTGACGACTGACAAAAAACAAAACAACTTGATCGTCAATTAAGGAATACAGTACGTACTTGGTAGTAATCCTTAAAATAGTACTAGTAAGACCCTGTCTAGATGAACTAAAACTTTTAAATCCCTATCATATCGGATGTTTGGACACTAATTATAAATATTAAACGTAGACTATTAATAAAACTCATCCATAATCTTGGACTAATTCGTGAGACGAATTTATTGAGCCTAATTAATCCATGATTAGTCTATGTGATGCTACAGTAAACATTCTCTAATTATGGATTAATTAGGCTTAAAAAATTTGTCTCACAAATTAACTTTCATTTACTACTCTAAGTATGTAATTAGATTTGTAAGTAGTCTATATTTAATACTCTAAATAAGTGTCTAAATACAGGGACTAAAGTTAAGTCTCTGTATCCAAACAACACCTAAATATACTTTAGTTAGTAGTGTACCAAGAAATTGTTTAAGGTTCCTTCTTCCCAAAGTTGTTATGTGGTTTGAAATTAAAGGAGTAGTGTATGCAACGTGACAGACGGTGTATAAAAGTTTGTACCGTACCCTCTGCAGGCTGCATCCGATATTCATCGCTTTCTGCCGTTGAGACGTGTCCTCTCTCTCTCGATGGGATGCTCCCAGTCTGCGCTGCACACTGTTTTTGTTCACAGGAGTCTACTAGTAGTACTCCACTATCCTACTCCTACAGATGGGACTTGACAAGGATTCGGAAAAACAAGGCAGCCACGTACGGAGTATACTCCTGGAGTACTTCTCCATTTTACTACCTCCGTCCCAAAATAAGTGCAGCGGTGAAAATCCATGTCTAACATTTGACCGTCCATCTTATTTGAAAAATTTATGAGAAAATTAAAATTAGTCACAAATAAAGTACTATTTATATTTTATCATCTAATAACAATAAAAATATTAATCGTAAAAAATTTTTAAATAAAACGAACGGTCAAAAGTGAGACATAAACAGTGCAAAACTACACTTATTTTGGGACGGAGGATTAAAAAAAACACTCGCAGAATGCCAGATACGAACAGTGGATAATGATTTATGGTCGTACTAGTAATAGTAGTATCATGTAATACTGTAGCTTAAAATGGCTGTCCCATACAGTATACTCCACTGGTAGTTCATCTGGGGTTCGTGTTTGGATCCGGTCACATCGGATATTTGACACTAATTTAAACTATTAAATATAGATTAATTACAATACTAATTATATAGATGGAGAGTAATTTATGAGACGAATCTATTAAATCTAATTAATACATGATTTGATAATGTATTGCTACAGTAAATATGTGCTAATCATTGACTTGCAAATTAGCCTTCATCCGTATAATTAGTTTTATAATTAGTCTATATTTAATACTCTAAATTAGTATCTAAATATTTGATGTAACAGGAAGTAAGTTTTAGTGATGTGATATGGAGTAAAGTTTAGTCCCTGATCTAAGTACCCCTTTGGGTGTGTTTAGTTCATGCTAAAATTAAAAGTTTGGTTAAAATTAGAACAATGTGACGAAAAAGTTGAAAGTTTATGATGGAAAAATTAAAAGTTTGAAGAAAAATTTTGGAACTAAACACGGCCAAAAATGAAAAGAGGCTATTCTATTCTTACAGGTTGATTATGATGATGATGGTATACATAACTTTATGGACGACAGGCAAGGGCGCCACGCTCATGTTGATGAATTAAAATACCATCAAATTATAAACTTCGCCCAAAAAGTTACATCATTACTCCTACATACCGGAGTTCTGTAAACACGTATCATCTTATCTCAATTTCCGTCGTCACGTTTTTCAAACTATTTTAAAAAATAATTTATATATAGAAGTTGCCTTACAATATTAAATACGTCAGTTTTTAAGTTTATAATAATTAAAAATTAATTAATCATGTATACACCACTAACGGTTTTCTCATCCCTTATACGTGCTGAGTTGTTATTTTATCTTGATCTCTCTTAAATACCCCTCCGTTCAAAAAAAAACCAATCATAATTATGAATCTGGATATATACTTGTCCAGGACAGAGTATATGAGTATCCATTCATATCAAGGATTTTAATGGGGTACGACAAATTGATATGACAGAGGTACTATAATTCTATCTACTTCCTCCGTTTCATATTATAAGACTTTCTAGTGTTGCCCACATTTACATATATGTTAATGAATCTAGACGCATATATATATATAAAAGGTGGCACGGCCGGCAGCGGCCGAGGCCGACGCGGCGTGGGAAGGCGAGCACGGTGTGGAGGCGCGGCCGGTGACGGGAGAATTTACTATTTGCCACTCTCTCAAAATGCCAGTGCTCAAATGCCACTCTCCCAAATGCCACCCAAGCCCACATGTCAGCCTCACTCTCCATTCAAACAAAAGTGATGTGGGACCCGATGATGAGTGAGGCTGACATGTGGGTCCGGGTGGCATTTGGGAATGAAAATTTGGGAGAGTGACATTTGAGCACTGGCATTTTGAGAGAGTGGCAAATAGTAAATTCCCCCGGCTGGCGACGATTGGAGACCGCTACAGTGTGTGGAGGCGAGCCCGTTGTGGTGGTGCGGCTCGGTGACGGTTGGAGACTGTTGCAGTGCGTGGAGACGTGACCGCCATGGACGTGAGGTGCTACCGACGATTGTTGGGTTAGCACAACCAATAGAGGTTGGCAGGTGGTGGAGCATGAGAGTGCTAGATTGTTTTTATACATGTTTAGGCCCCTAACTGACAGGTAATAGCCATACTTTGTGGTTGGTTGAAGTCGGTGTTACCTTTATACATATATCAGTATCATACGAGTATAATATTTGGAATGACCTGGTTTAGTCTCTGTCAGCATAGTGGCGTAGAGCTCTCACATGTTGCTTGCCTTCGCATTTGTCTTAGCGTGTCTCCTCTCCTCCTTGGGGTCTTGTATTTATACTCTGGGTGTCCCATATCCAAGTAAAACTAGGAAAATCGAGTATGGATATGATCCGAGTAGTCGTTGCCGTGCCCAAGTAGAACTCGGCATGTTTTTCTTATCTGGAATACCTTTCATATATGAGGCTGGATTCCGTAGAAGACTTAATATATGGTAAGCCCTGTAGATCCTAACACAAAAATATTAGGTATATTTTATCTATAACATTGATAAATATTGCTAAATTTTCTACAGACTTAGTCAAATCTAAAAAAGTTCGACCTAGAAAAATGTCAAAAATATTGCAACATTTTCAAAGCAAAAGAAACATATATTATCAAAATATATTAAATGTTGATTTAATGAACCTAATTTGATGTTGTTAATTTTTTTTCTTATAAAATTGATCAAACTGAAAAATGTTTGGTTTAGAAATAAAAAGTCAAATGACTTATAATATAAGAAAAATGAAAAGAAAATGTTGGGGCATGTTTGGCACAACTTCAGCTCCAACTCCAGCTCCAGCTCAACCAAACCGTTTCAGCTCCACTAAAACTGGGAGTGGAGCTAGGTGGAGCTCTCTCACAAAATGAACTAGAGTTGTGGAGCTAGGTTTAGACAGCTCCACAACTTCACTACAGAAAGCTAAATTTAGGAGTTGGACCGGTTTGATCCGTTGGTCAACTAGTCCGTGTTGGAGTTGGAGCTATTGGATCCGTTCTGACGACCGGCCCAGCCCACAGTCGTGTTCCTTCCCGTAATTCCAATAAATAAATAGAAAGGGATCCAACGGAGAAGTGAACCCCCCTCGAGTCGAGGAAGCATCAAGCATCGTCGCCTCGCCTCGTCCCCAATTGAGCAAACCCTAGCCCGCCGCCGCCGATCAATCTCCGTCTGCTATGGCGATGCGCTACCTCGCCGGTAAGCTGCGGGCCCCCGCCCCCGCCGCCGCCGCTCTCCGTCGCCCTCGATCCCTCTCCGCCAACGCCTCCCAGTCCCAGGTCGGCTCGCCCCTCGACTCGTCCCAGATCGTTCGTTTCGATCGACCAAGATCGGTTCGTGTCCAGATCTGTTCCGCGTCTGCCAATGAATCGACCTCACCTTGGCGGCTAGCCCAAAAAAAAAATCTGATAGGATATCCTATAACATAAGAAACTTATGATGGTAGAATCTATAGCTTAAGGTATGGGTTCCTGCGAAAATTAGGGGTGCAGTTATCTCTGTTTGCTTATTACCATTGTCAGTTCAAGATACTTTGTTCTATACAGATGAAAGGTAATGTGTATCATGCAAACCATTTCTATCTCGCAAACAATTCCACACTAGGCATTTACTGCAACAACAAAAAAAATCACTGAACTAGAGCTGCAATTTAGTTGCTGATAACACAAAGATGTATTGGTTGGTGCTATACTAATGTTGCCCATGTTGTTTGTTGCACCTTGAACACAAGCTAGTTAGTACGTACTCAGCCCTTCAGCTAAGGGTAACCTCACATAGTAGGTGGAAACTTGATGTCTATCGATGAATACTTTGAAGCGTGAACTGGTTCTTTTTCAGATTTACTTATTATTACTCAGTACTCTGAATTGTTCGTTTGGACCTCTACATTATATTGCCATCTCAGCTTGTTTTCTTTTAACACCTAAATCTAGGGAAAGTACACCAATGGAAGTACTACAGAGCTTGCGTCTTCCATGAAGGTTGTGAAGAATGTGGACGAGACAATTCGACAGCTACATGAAGAAGTAGCTAAAATGGAAGCTGCAAGGTGAAGGAACTAACATTGTTTTAAACCAACTCAAATGGTCTTGAGGCATGATAGTAACATATGGCTGTTCTCTCTGTTTTGTTTTGATAGCAAGGAAATAGCGGAGATAATAAGGTACAACAGGTTCCACAGAAGGTGTATAATGGGGTCTGTTGTCCTTGGGGTGGGTCTTGCAGGTGTCTCCTGTGTCCGGTATACTCGTAGTTACAGGAAGGCCCTCAGGGAGTATTATGTTGTCGGCTTGGAGATGGAAAACAAGTATTCACCACGTACTCCTAACTAGCCTGGGCACTACCCCCTGGGGTGTTCAGTTCCCCCTTCTGTTTATGCCGAAGATGTGGTGGATATGTATGCAAGGGCCAACGCTTGTGTATGTGCCGTATTTTGTGTTGAAACTAAGCACCTCTTATGTACGTAAGACCAAGTTGCCGTCATTTTAAACTGCCTGTGGTTGTAGTGATACCGAAGGACAACGTATTTTATGCTTGTATGTTATTGTAAGGTTGACCTAAAAAAATTCAGCCATGCTTGTTTTAAGTAATTGGTCGGTGCAAGTTCTCCGGAACACTAGCTAAATTATTTGTTACTATTGAGTTTGACGAAAAAAATACGTTTCTATGCAAGCTTCTCGATCAGTATTCTGAACTAAAGTTCTCTCTCTTGATGCGTTTCTTTGGCTGTTCTTGGTCATTCCACACCTTTTTTTTTTCTAATTCAGTAATCTGGGTAAGAACAACTAATGTTGTTTCCTACACCTTGCAGCTTCAACTTTAGCTCTTATTTCAAGTTGCAGTCGTCTTTCCTCGTCCCTAGATTTTGCAGTTCCATTGCTGCATCCTCCCTAGATAAATGAAAAAGAATAACTGAACTGGAGCTGTAATTTTGTTGCTGAAATGATGTAGGATGTGTTACAAGCCTGAAAATATAAGTAATAGATAGATGAATACTTTTAAGCGCCAACTGGTTAGGGTTTTCGTCTTCTGATTTGATTGCATTGTGGATCAGGCGTTCAGGTAGGTATTCAGGACCGTCCCATCCTTTCCCTTGTGCTTATAAGCCAAAACTTAATTTTGAAATTTGTTTTGTGGTTCATTTTATAGCATTTGCTTTTCAATAGCTGAAGATATACATATAAAAGTTTTACTCATAAATTATTGTCTATTTGTTAATAAGCCATACGAACAAAACATAAACATAAATGAGACAGTGGGATCATTCCAGTGACAGTCAGAATGCAAACAAACTGAAACGCTAGGTTTGCTGCAATAAGGCCTTTTACCAATCGATCCAACAGTGATCGATGACAGAATGGAACTAACAAATCAAAGTCGTTTACCCCATGTGATATTCCAGGCTCCAGCGGACAAGTAGTTCATACATACAGGTAGTACTGATAAATTACTCCAGTTTGCTTCCCAAAATAAACGAAACGTACTGATTCATTAGTTTGCCCCAAAACAAACAAAATCCAGGTTTGAGACAACCAAAATCCATGGGTCGAGCAACATGGCAACCTCAAAGCTCTCCAAAACAAGTGTCCACCATATGTACATTCGGAATTCCCCAAAGCTGTTGACTCTGCAGACAACAAAAATAATTCCTTTAGACAAAATTTCAGGGTAAACAGGGACCAGTGCAGACCACCATCGTCAACTCTGAATTGCTCAAACCATTCACACAGATTGTGCGAAGCTCAAACCATAAAATCCAACAAGAAGATCCCTAATTCCCTAATATGATTTTTTTTTTGAAAAAAAAAGAACACCTGCCTTCTAATACCCAATACCTAAAGTTTACCAGATAAGCAAAGTTTGTCGTATTCCCTGGTGTCTGATTTTGAATAGTTCACATGCAACGTCAAATTTTAGGACAAGATAAATAGTTAAATTTTATTCTCAACAAATTGGCTTCAAGACAAAACAATATACATAGTATATAAAGTACTCCCTCCGTTTCATATTATAAGACTTTCTAGCATTGCCCATATCATTAACATCTATATAAATGTGGGCAATGCTAGAAAGTCTTGTAATATGAAACGGAGGAAGTACTTGTAGTCACGTTTGAACTTTGAAGGCGAAAACTACCACATAAACAAATACCTCGAGCACTTACATACACGTCCTAGTTCTATAAGTTTCCACATATACACCAAATCACCAGACCAAAAGTCAGCTCACAAACCAAAATCAGATTTTTCACATGTCAAGGACACAGCAAATGCCAATCTGCCACAGAACTAACCCACCGGCCACTACAAAGATGAAAGTCCTTGCACTAGTAAAAGTGTAAAACCTCAACAACACACCAAAAAACTAGTGGTTTCCATTACTAAAACCACATAAACCATAATATGGCACGACAAAACTGGAAGTCCTTGCACTTGTAAAACCTCAACACCACAACACAAACTAGTGGCTTTCATTACTATAAAATCCCATAAACCCTAAATCTGGCATGGAAAAACTGAACCTAGGGAGTTCAAATTGGTTCCCTGTAATTCAGCACACGAAACCTCTTGCATACGCCAAGCTCCACTCAAAACTGCCTCCAATTCAGACCCAACACAAATGGGAACAATTCTAGTGAAACGCGCCACGCACACCGTCAACTCCAACAGAAACATAACCTCCTAAATCTCACAAAGGACTAAAGCATTTGCCTCCTAATTAACAGGCCCCCAACTAAAAGCTTGTGCCTTTGACAACCTCCGGACTCGCTGACTGCTAAATTCAAGCTAAAGAAACCAAAGTTCAGCACCCGGAACATACCCTAATCAAACACAAAAGAAGCGACCTAAATTCCAGTTTTAGCTTGAATAAGCTTCTCGCAATCTATGCGGCTAGGTAATTCAACAAGAAGTTAAGCAGGCAAAAAGGCAGCACTACACAAAATTTAGAGTTTAGATTGTGTTTTCAGGTTACCAACCTTAGCATTAGAAAGCACATTAGGTAGGTATTGAAACAACTCAGGTAGGGGGGGAACTCCTCCGTTCACGCTCCTGAAAAATATTAATCACAATATTAATATACTTATAAACCCCTAATGTAGCACCTAAATTATAAAATACTAGGATCTAGGAAAAAGGAAAATATACCTTCTTGAGGATCGGAACAATTTTCGGCCTGAATCCTGCGTCAATGCATTCCCTGTATTGCTCTTCGACAAGGGCATAGGTAGTAAGCTTACCCTTTTTCTTCTTTGATATCAACCTGACAATAAAATTAGATAAGATTTTAACATGCAAATAATAATATCATATTAAAGCTACTAGCATAATTCATTACCCTACTGCAACCAAAATGTTCAGAAGTTCTTCATTTTCCTTGTTGCGTCTAACTCCAAGCTGGTATAAACGCATCCACAGTTCATCTGTACTTAAAAAAAAAACATTTTGGTTACATGGTTTCTTCATTAACGGTGAAAAGGACAAAATTGACTCACTCACTCTCATAAACTGGCATTCCTCTGATCAATGACAGAGCAAAGAAGGAAAAGGAAACTGCCCAGTCTTCCCAAGTGTCTGAAGCCTCCAAATCCAAATCATCTTGAGGTGAGCTGTCTTTACCAAAAAACCACTCCTGAGCCTTCCTAAAGGGAGCGGACACTGCTATGGCACCAAGTCTATCTGCTGTCTGATCTAGCTTTGCCTTGAATTCCTCATCATCTAAGACACTGTGTGCGAATTTTTTGGCAAATTCGTCGGCGTCAACGATATAGGCCATTTTAACCCCAACACAATAGAGCGCGAACAGCACAAGATACACAGATGCAGTAACACTGAGTGAAATTACAGCTGTTGTGACTTTTCCAGTGCGCTCCATAGATCTAATTAACATGAAAAAACAAGAAGAAAAACAGAACGGAAATCAAGAACATCCCAACTAATTAAGCCTCAAAGAAACAAGATCGGTCAAGCATTAAAAGGAAGGAATTTTTTTTACCTCTTAAGGCTTTGGAAAGAGGAAGTGGAGACCTTGACAGCATTCATTTGAGCAGCACTTAGTTGTTGGAGTTCGGTAAGGATCTCTTCAAGCTGGGAATCCACCGACCTGGTCCATTCCTCCAATCTTCGCTTGCCGTCGCCTCCGGGGATGCCGCCTCCTGAGCTCCGGCCACCACCTCCGCCGCTAGAGCCGGACATCCCGCGCCTGGCGCCGAGCCCGAGCGAGCCGACTCTGCCGCCGTAGGAGAAGGCGGTTGGCGGCGGCCAGAGGCGGGCGGCGGCGAGGTTGCCGGGCTGCAGCAGCCTCGCCGCCCCTTGGTGGTGGTGCACGCGGACGCCGGCGAACACGATGTCCGCAGCCGCCCTCCTCCTCCCGGCGAGCAGCGCGGTGGCGACTCGGGGAATCGCCATTCGTAGGCGGCGGCGGTGGCGGTGGCCTAGGGTTTCCTAGCTCGCTACCTTTTGTCCTACGCTGTCGTCTTATGGATGATACTAAACCCTCCCTCCTCCACCCGCTTCCCCTGTCACTGTTAATTACTATCATCATGCATGTAATAAAACTGCTTAGGCTGACTTCTTATCACCTAGCTCTTGGCTAATTCCTCTTTTATCGATCGTTTTCGAACTAACAGTGTGCATCGTGCAAATATATAGTACTCGCTCCGTTTCACAATGTAAGTCATTTTAGCATTTCCTATATTTATATTGGGTGTCTTTAGATTGGCTCAAAGTTTAAAATTTGGTTGAAATTGGAGAAGATGTGACTGAAAAGTTGTGTGTGTATGAAATGTTTGATGTGATGGAAAGTTGGAAGTTTGGAAAAAAAAACTTTGGAACTAAATGCACACTTGATGTTAATGAATCTAGACATATATATCTATCTAGATTCATTAACATCAATATAAATATGTCTAGATTCATTAACATCAATATAAATATAGAAAATGTTAAAATGACTTACATTGTGAAACGGAGGAAGTACGTATTAAAGTTCATTTCAAAAAATCAAATAAATATTTTTTTTCCGATTTTATAATATCTATAACTTAATTATTTTAATGATTTGATCGCACGCGCCACTAACCAGCTCCGACAAAGTGGTATCGATCGCCTTAGATTATAGCGGGCACCTTTAACAAACTACTAAACGGTGCTACTTATGAACAAACTTTTTATCAAATAGTTTCACTAAATATGAAAAAAAAAACTCATTTTTAAGTATTTAATAGCTAATGCGTAATCAATTAGGTTATGTTCGGCTCAATGAGTTGGCAACTAATCTCTCGTGCAGGCAAAAAGAAGTTACTTATTAGCACATAATTAATTAAATATTAACTTTTTTTAAAAAAAATAGATTAATACTATGATTTTTGAAAGCAACTTCCATGCATATTTTTTTTTAAAAAAGAACACACTACTTAGAAAAATATTTTTTTCATAACATTTGAGTTTTATTTTCATCGGTGAATTTGAAAAAGCTTTCCTTGCAACAATAACATGTGGTCCTAAAAACCGCTTGCGAAAATACGGCCATTTGAGTAAAAATTGATTTTTTTAGGCGGGGTCTTGAGAGCATCACTTGCAAAAATCATGGGGAAGGATTAGAAGACGTGCACATTGACCAACCTGGAATCAAATCATTTTTCCCCTGCCTCAACTCTCCCTCCTTTTATCATCTCTCTCCCAGATCCGTAGCTATGGATGGGGTGTAGCAGCTCAGCTCGGCGGCGACTACGCTTAGCAGTAGCGGCACAGGGAAAGGGGCGGCGACGATGGAGTGGGGGAGGGGGCATGGCGAACACTTGGTGGCAGCAGAGCGGGGGAAGGCACAATGGCAGCGCTCGGCAGTAGCGGCGCTCGAGAGGGAGAAAGGGGGCGGGGACGACAGCGACGCTTGGCAGCAGCGGCTCGGGGAATGGGACGGTGGAGAGTAGCGAGGAAGCAAATCCGGTGCCGGCGAGTCAAGAGAGAACAGATACGGCTCTAGCGGGCCTCAAGAGTGATGGTTCTGCCGTTGGCTGGCCACGCCCTACCTCGCCGAGTCCATCCTCCCTCCCTCGTTGACCTCAACGTGCCCTCCCATCCCTCTGAACGCAAGATTTGCCAGTGACGAGTCGCGTCGTGATGGATTCAGTGTCGGCAAGTCGCGTGGGCGTGCGAGCTCGTCCACCACACCGGTGGCCTCATTCACGGCGGGTGGAGGGCAGATCCAGGAGGGAGCAAGGCTTTCGACCCAACAAACCACGACGACGACAGAGGTGATGTGGATTTTGATTCGGGATGTGATGACTAATTTTTTGGAATTTGTGCTCTGTTATGTGGATTTGGAATTTGGGAATGTCGATTTTGGAATGCAGGCAGCTGCACGTGGTCATTTTCATTGTTGTTTTTCAAAACTAATCTTTGTAAGTGGTTAGAGGGAAATTGCACGTGGGTATTTTCAATTTCCCCGCTAAATTGATTATCACTGGTGGCCGGCTTAACATAGCCGTCGACAAATATCGATTATCGATGGCCGTCCAATAACACAGCCTTCAGCAAAAATCAATTATTGATGACGGTTGATGTCTCGCATGTGAAGACTTTAGAGTTTCTCTGACCTTTAGTCACAGGTGATTAGCCTAACCACTAGGAAAGACTAATTCTAGCCGGCAAAAGAAATTTTTTTTTTAGCAGTGACACCATTTAACAGTTTAGGAGGCGTGCACACTGTTTGGAAAAAAAATGGCCTTAAACGTTAATTGAGTTCCTTTCGTGGCAAGACAACCGGCTAACCGCCCCAACTTTGCTTCCTAATGGAGCCTTAAACGTGCTTAGCATTAATTAATGACGCTCTTCTCCTGTACGCACCAGTACATGCTTTCTGCTAATTAAGCATGAATGCATGCTTCTGTTTAAATGTCGGAATGAGGCAGATTTATTAATCACACCACTCCACCCCCCAAACTCAGTTTTTAAGTATATGCCCTAGCTATACGGAGTACTCCCTCCGTCCAAAAAAAAAAAAAGACAAACCCTGGTTTCCGTGCCCAACGTTTGACCGTCCGTTTTATTTAAAAAAATTATAAAAAAAAATAAAAAGACAAGTCATGCACAAAGTATTAATCATGTTTTATCATCTAACAACAATAAAAATATGAATTATAAAAAAATTTCATATAAGACGGACAGTCAAAGTTGGACATGCAAACCCAGGGTTTGTCTTTTTTTGGGACGGAGGGAGTACTCCCTTCGTCCTAAAAAAGACAAACTCTGATTTTCGTGCCCAACATTTAACCATATTACACACGATATAAACTCTTCCTTAATTGTTTCTTGTTTGGCTACTACTCTAGTACCCCTAGCTAATTTTCTGACGTTTTAGACAACGTCATGACCAATAAAATATGTCTTTGATTATTTGTTTTTATTGTACTATTTGTAAAACATTATAAATATTAAGTGTGTAGACCGAAGTTAAAATGATAAATATTTTGGTTTTGTAAAACTTTAAGATAATAATATTTGAAATTATGTGCCACCTATCAAAATCCCTATAGTTTTTTGTAATTTTGGCTGTAATAGGTGGAGTTTTATAAAATTTACACAAAAATTAACTAAATATTTAATTTTACTAAAATATTTTTAAAACTAATCTATGCATCATGTTTGAGTGCCTTTAAACTAAATAGTTTAATTACTATTATAGTTAAAATTTTAATTGTTCGATCGCAACTTTATATTAAAAATACCAAGAATTATGGAACACGAATGAGCAGTATTGTACTATCGGTAGGTCAAAATTAAAACGTGATAGCTAGCGTGCCCCAGCTGGCCGGTTTGAGGTTTTAGAAATTTTGAAAACTTAATTCAAATAATTGATCTACTTTGGTGTGTTGTTTCGTCCTTTGACTTTATGAACTCCAAGAAAGAGTAAAATCCACAAAATTGCATATACTTTGAATAAACAATTGAAAAACTACATATTTAATACGACATATTATAAAACTACAAATGACACAAGATCTATAGTATCGTGATATATTTAGTGCTAAATTTATAGTTTTATAATACACATCCTAAATATGAAGTTATGTGGTCTAAACCGTTGTTGATTTATGAGTTCTTCTATTAGAAATTTGCATAGTTGTATAAACAGAAATAATTCGGGTGTGTTTAGTTCACGTTAAAATTGAAAATTTGGTTGAAATTAGAACAATGTGGTGGAAAAGTTAGAAGTTTACGTGTATAGGAAAGTTTTAATGTGATGGAAAAGTTGAAAGTTTGAAGAAAAAATTTGAAACTAAACACGGCCATTGCATATGAACAGTTAATAAGGTGAGTGACATGTGATGTAGGTCTACTCTGGTACTACTAGCTCGCAGTCTTGCACCCCTGAGGCCCTGACGAAGCAATTAAGAGCTGAGCAGCGCAGACGCAAGCATGTCAAACTCGATAAGAACTCCCTGCTCGGATGCTCCTATCCCCACTGTATTTTTTTTTCGAGCCGCTTACTCCTATGTTGGAGTAATTTTCAAATGTTTCTTTGGATTTTTTGAATTATAGTATTTTCTAATATTGGTTTTTAGATTTCTAAGATACGTATTCCTATATGAAAAGTTTACCAATAAACCTTTTCTCTATGTTGTTAAGCCATTGCTTTATCAGCTAAAGTTTCGTTTTTTTTTCTGTTAGCATACACACTGGAACATGCTAGCTTGTGAAATTTCTAATAACTACTGTAGGTTTTAAATTTAAAAGACGATCTTTTTTTTGGAGCTAACATGAACTTATATATAGAACACTGCCAAATTTAAAGTTTACTATAATTTAATCAGCTGCAGGATACTACCTCTACCCTAAAATAACTTTATTTTTTCACCCACATATCAATACAAATACTAAAAGAATAAAATGCCTATACTTTATCTAATCCGAATGCAATTAATTTCTTATTTACTCGTAGTACAATTATTTGCTTTCATAAACTCTAACGCAATGATTACTAAAAATGAATTTATTTTGAGACAAATAGGATAAGCCAAAAAAGAACTTAAATATGATTTTGGTTGTGGCCCAGGTGGTTGAGGGTTAAAAAAGGCACAAATTTGATTTGGAGTTGATGGATATTACATATAATATATCAAAAAATCCCTTATATCGTGGGACAAGTAGAAGGGGGTAAAATCTTTTATATCGTTATAAATAGTACTCCCTTTGTTCTAAAATATAAATATTTTTAGTTATGAATCTGGACAACCGTGTGTTCAGATTTATAGCCAAAAGTTATTATATTTTGGGATGGAGGTAGTAATAGAAGGCTATAAGCCAGCTATAAACATATTTTAAGAAGATAAATAAGGAGAGAGAAGATGAGCGGGCTATAGATTTGTAGCCAACTGTAGTACAAATTCTAATGCACAATGTGTCTATGATAGATGGGACCAGATATTAATAGTATAGTATGTAACTATTGTATGAATTAGCTATTAGATTGATTGTAGATGAAT